AAGGGGGGGCACAAACGAGACAAAGGTGGCAGACCAGGGAACCTGCAGCTCTTTCCTGGGGGCAGACAGTGGACAGCAGTGGAGGCACACCCAACTGGAGACACCTAGGGAGTAGCCACATGGAGAGAAAGCTAAGCTGGGTTATACGTAGCTAAGATGCACTCAGGAAGCTGTGTGCTAAAGTACACACCTGGAATTCTGGCCCATGGTGGAGTCCTGAGACAGATGAACCTGCCCAGGACACAGGGGGAGAGTAAGAGCTGAGGGAGGACCCAACACACCCGTCTAGGGCAACCATGATAGCTACCTAAACAAACTCCCTAGGAGGCCTCCCACCAGTGGGCAGATGACTGCCCTGGAGAAACTCTCAACACAGCTGGACCACAAAGACTAGGTACTGTTTCTCGAACGAGTAGGTATTAATTACATGATACACCTTGACAGTCTTTCTGTAGCAATGCACAGACACTTCCTAACCACACAGACTCTAACAAATAAACCACAATTTAAGCCATTGTTGACAGACATTCAGGTTGCTGCTTTTTATCTTTCTTTTCCTCTCATGACTTACACAGCAGAAAACATCCATATGTTCTGCAAGGTTAGACCGCCAGCCTCCAATCTGCTTATACTACCTGGTCTGTAGTACTCTGCCATACACCGTTCCACCTAAGCAGACCCAGAGTCATATGGAGGAAGCAAATTAACCATGAAGACTCCTAGCCCGTCTTAGAAGTGCAGGTCACTTGGGGAGGCTCTCTCCAGGCTCCCCTCTCCAGGCAGGACTGCACACTACACCCAGGTTTGCAGCGGCTTCCAGGTGATACCTGTGCAAGGGCCAGTACAGAGAGGCTATGAGAAAAGGAGGTCTCAGCCTGACTGGGCTTTCTACCTAAATGCTGTTTTAGGAGAAAATGTTGTTTTTATGAACATTACTAACACTTAAAGGACTCTGACTGTTCAAAATATAGGCCATACTATCCTTGTAAAAATAATTACACGGACTGAGCCATATAAATACATAAGTCTTTATTATGTCTGTTGAAACTCATGAAAACAGTTACACATTTTTTTATGCACTACGTTTGGAAACGCAAAATATAAAAGGATTTTAGCTTTCTAGTACTATAATAAAACAGAAAGAGCACATAAAAAGAAAATGTCAATACGAATCATATTTAGTATTTCTAGGACTGTTTTCCTGCCCCATTTTCCCACAGAATGAATAGAATCACCCCGAGGCTATGCTCCGAAAGCTGTAGGGACGGCTGGGGCACAGCTCCACGCCTTCCCCAGCCTGAGTCCCACAGGTCAAATGACAGGAAGAGGAGGTGGGGGTAGGCCAGTTCGCATCGCTGGAAGGCAGCTTCGGCACTGACAGGTTCAGCTCCTCGCTGGATCCGTCACAGCTACTGACAAAATGTGGGGTCTTTGCACACTAGGAAGGCGGGTGCCCCTCCCCCCGGATGCTCCGATACTCAGCCATGTCTTCTGGAAATACTTTAGAAAGTTCTTGAATCAGCAAGCTTTTAAACTTCTACGAAGAAAAATGGGACTGTCAAAATTACTCAAAGACTAAATGCACCCCTTTCAAGGAGCCCCAAGTCCTGACTGGGCCACCCAAAGGAACAGAACCAGGCCACTGGCCTTCTGTGAGTGCAACACCTGGAGAAGCAATCTCAGGGGCATCTGCAGGGTACGGTGCTACAGGACACCACCCCCTGGAAGAGGGCTACACTTACACAAGGCCTGCCTTCCTGCCTACGCAGGGAACAGGAGCACCTGCGGCCAGGTGCTCCTTCCAGCCAAGAGGGCAATGATGTCTGCAGACAGCACATACACCCAGAATTTTAAAGAATATCTAATGAAGCAATTACTCACTGGATCCACAACAAGCTCACTGTGTGCAAACAGCTCTCAGAAGCTTTCCTGGCACCTGGAAACACGTCATCTACTGCAAACTGCTGGCTGACTTGTCCCACATTTGTTTTACTCCATCTTAAAAGCTGGTCAATGCACAGCACCACTGGCCTTTACGCTTATGAGCAGAAAAACTGCCTCAAGGCCAGACACATGGACGCACGTGCCACCTCAAAACGAATTTTCAAAGGAGCGCTTCACTTCACTGCTGCAGCACATAAAGATGCATCTTTCACGTTTCACTGGGTGGCCCACTGGGGACTCACGGCCGCAGAAGCACACCTTGAGACTGTCACAGATCTCAGGCAACGCTGACAGCCACCACTGCACAGCACACTCCAACATCGCCCAAGGCAGTGGGCGTAGGATGCTGTGGGCCTGCAGGCCTTAGCCCCAGAGCAGACACTGTGCCGATGGCATTTCTGCTGGGCTGCGGTGGGGCACAGAAGCATCAGAACCACCACCTTCCTGCAGATAAAGCACTACATGTTCTGAGGAGATCACCAAGTTCTCAAGCTGCTCAACAAAGTTGACAGGAGAGCTAAAGCGTGGGCTCCATCTAACCGGACCAACCCTCTTCCCTGGTTGGTGTCGTGGCTTGGGCTGGCAGGACCCTAAGGAGGTCCAGACACCAGACAGGCAGGTCTCCTAACAGAGCCCCTCCTCTCACTCCTGCCAGTCAGCCTGAGCTCTGTGACAGTCTCCAGGCACGCTTCTAGAGCCACATGTCCCCATTGGGTCACCCAGTTCAGTTAAACATGAAAGATCTATGTTTTGAGAACCGGACTGCTCTACAGCCACCTGGCCGTACACATCAGATACAACCAGCACACCTGTGCCAGGCTGGATTCAGGCAGCGCTAGGGCAGGGCACAGGAGACTAGCGCTTGACTAACAAGAGTGGCTGGCAGGCAGAGGGAAGGGAGCATCCCGACCAGCACAGAAAAGGAAACCAGGCATTCCAAACAGCACTCTTGGGAAAGCACTTAGGCGGGTGGATCTGAAGGCCTCTCAGAGAAGGCTGAGCCAGGATGCGGGCTCACCTGTGCAGAAGGAACATGATGGGTTCCAGGCCTAGGAGACAGATGAGCATAGAACACAGCAGGGGGCTGAGGTGGGGGGGGGTGATGGGAGGCCCAGAAGGAGCAAAGGCTCCACAGCGGGTCACACACAGGGCACCCACTGGAGGCCAAAGGCCCATACAGAGACATTTCAGCAAACTGAAGTGAGAAAAGCTTATTTCACATTCAGGACAGAGCTCTCTAAACCTCACTAAGGCAAACAAAATCCAAGGTCTCTATGGAGGATTTCATGGTGGTACGTCTGCAGGTGAGATGCTACAGACATGAACCTGAATATTCTAGAATCCTCTAACCACAGCACCAGGAGCACAGCACAGCATACAGGGTCACAACAGACACATCATCCTAGTCAAGCCAGGGACAGGAAAGCATACACAGAAAACACCGCTGGCCAGGGACACTTCTCTGAAATGGAAGCCTAAACAGCTGGTGGTGTTTTCAGGGCCCACGGCTCCCTGACATCCAACCTATTCCTCTATGGACAAGTCAGAAACCTCCTGAGTCACAGTAAGAACAGTCGCTGGAGAGGTCTGCTAAGGGCATCCTGCTGTGCAGCTTTCAGTGTGCACCTGGCCACCCTCTCCTTCTTACCTTCATTGTGTCGATCTTGCCCTTAACTTGCTCGTTTTTGGCTAGAGCCCTCTCCAGGCACTCTTTAGTGTAGAGCTGGGGGTTTCGACCTTGATCTATGTACCTGCAATGTAGACACCAGAGTTAACATATGGCTGATACGCTTTCCTCACAGCCTTCTGGAAACTACAACCCAAAACAAGTTCACTAGATATCCATCCCCCCTTTGCATGACACAGCTCAGACAAAGCTGAGGCCAGGAGCGAGGTGCATGGAAATCCTCCCACTTCGGCAGGCAGGCGTCTGTTTCTTCTAGTAGTCCACAAAGTCAAGCAATGATCACTTCTGCTCCCAAGGAAGCATCACGAGACCACTTTGCATCTGTCAAGCTCTTTCCATCTCTCTATGCTATAACCTTCTGGACCTTCACACCCTGCACGCTAAACAAGCCCTTGACAAAAGTAAGTTACATGTGGTGCAGGGGCTCAGGCCTGGCTGACTGAAGGCGCAGTTAAGACGTGGTACCCACTCCAGTCTGGCCTGACTGCTCAGGGCACCGTGATTAGAGGAGCTTTTGAGCCTGCCCAGAGGAAGAGGGGGAGCCACAGGCAAAGGACCCAGTTCCCACCTGCCTCAAGATGGTCTTAGAAAATGTCCCAATGCTTTCCAAAGGGAGAGGACATTATCAATACGCACCTTACTAGGCCTCAAGTGACACACTCAACAGGAAGATTCCTTTCAATTAGTCCTAACAGCACAGAACTGCTTGACATTTTCCACTTCCAGCCAAAAATGCCATCATACCCTGATGTTATAAAACCCACTTCATACATGAATATCCACATTTTACCAAGGTCAGACTACCTATTTCCATACCCTATAAAAATCTGTATCATTCAGCTACATTAATTATTCATTATAAAGAGAGAGAGTCCACCAAAACACCAAGTTCAATTTTTTTAAACTAGGGGAGAAAAATATTACTTCAGGTTAATGATGCCATTAAGTTAGCCTTTATGGTGACAGCAAAAATAAATACCAATTTCTAGAATTTCCATTTCATTTCAATGTGTTTGAAACGATGTAATCGAAGAAGAGAATTAGTTAATTCTAAATAAATCTATTTCAGAACAAGAAAAAGAACAGGAAATGCTCAGAGGACAGGCATAGTCACATCACACATCCTAAATAAACAACCACCTTGAACGGCGAGGATTCCCTACTTGGGCTGGGTTCTGCTAAGACCCAAAAGCTGATCTAACCTCAGTAGACACGCAAAGCCTGAAGGTTAGTTTTTATATCTGCTGCTGACAGTCCATATGTCTATGTAAGTGTGTGCTAGCAGGGTCACTGGAAAGCTGGAAATACCTCTCACAGTGCTCATGCAGCCTGGACATCTGCAAACGGGGTACAGGCACCTGCCCCTCACAACTGGCAGACCACCATCATCCAGCCACTGGGACAGGTACACAAGACCCTCTGGTAGAAAAGTGCCTCCCCAAGAGCACCGGGATTGAGAGCTTCACCCTCCGAGGAAGGCAGGTAGTACCACCTCCTTGATGAAGCTCACCATGGGCAGCCTCTCCAACACCAGGATAGTTTTCAGGATCTTGTTGAGTACATAATTTTTTATTTGTAATACAGCCTACTGAAAACTTAAGGAAAAAGAAGAAAGTATGTGGTTGCCCTTTAGCCGAAGGCTTTTTTTTTTTCCATAAAACTCAGAAGCCTGTTTTGTATGTATTTAACAAGGTTTTCATCTTCGTGAAGAGTTTTCAACAGTACCACACAGGAGAGCTGCTTTTCTCTTTTCTTCAATCCCATTAGCACATTAAGTTGCATGAGGACAGGTGGTTTTCGTCTGCTTCTCGCTGGCGTTCTCCAGCACCTCCTACCACAGCAGCTAAACAGGGTTTGGATTGAGATTAGATCCATGTTGATACTTACTCAAAAACTTCCAGCGGCACCGTGATATCATGGAGCTGCTGCCTGCACTTATCTATGTCCTGCAAGCCCGTAACAATGAAGTTCCTAGGAGAATGGCGGAGTGGGACACTGGTTAATTCGGATGCCAGCACAAGCTGGCGCACACCACCACCTCACACCACCACCACCTACAGGGCTCAGTAACAGTTAAAACAGCAAGGTTGGGAACAGAGCAGATAAAGAAGGTTACAGCCTTGAGATGGCCAGGCTAACCAGATAAGACTAAAATAAGACTGGGAAAAACAGCCCACCGCAGTGGCTCGGGTATAGACAGGATCCAGCTTTCTGCATTAAGACCTCCTGGCCCCCAAGCAGTACAAAACACTGCTGCCCTCTACCTAGTAAACTCAGCTTTGTGGACAGTTACACCATACATACCCTTGCACCTAATTTTAACTGACTGAACTGTGGATATGGACAGCTCCTAAGAAAGCCTCCCACTGCCCCAGGAGGGACTCCCCAGATCAGCCCAGGGTGGACAGTGGGGGAAGAAAGGTAGACTCAGTGCAGACACTGGAGGCAGCCCCGACCCGGGCACTGGGTGCTCTGCCCTCCACTTCTTCCTACTTGCCTTCTAAAAATGAACCTTGAATACTTGCTATCTGTGCCTCCTCCAGGGACACAAGAATGCTGCTTCCTTGGATCAGGGGGAACTCAGTCCCTTCCCCATCCATACGCAGGCTTCACAAAGTACTGCTCACACAGTAGCTCACACACTTCTCCCCAGCCTCAGGGACACCTCTGGATTTCCAAACACCCTCAGATATTGGATAGATTTCCTTCTAAACTCAGCATGGAGCCAGGAAACAGCAAAAGCTCTTGGAGACTCAGATGAGAAATACCAACCTACCAAAACCACCAAGTGAGGCCCATGTTTTGGGTGGGCTCCAGGGTGAGTGGGGGGGGCGGTGGGCCTCTCCCATGGGGTCCCAGTGGGGGGGTGGGCCTCTCCTGTGGGGTCTCCGTTGGGGGCGGGTCTCCCCCATGGGGTCCCAGTTGGGGGCGGACCTCCCCAGGTGGGGGTGGACCTCCCCCATCGGGTCCGGTGGGGGGTGGGCCTGTCTCATAGGGTCCGGGGTGGGGTGATGGGGCCGCCCCAGTGGAGTCCGACGTGGAGGGGTGGGCCGTCCCTGTGGGGTCCGGAGTTGAGGGGTGAGTCTCCCTGTGGGGACTGGGGTGGGGGCATGGGGCCTCCCCTGTGTGCCTTGGATGCCCCCCCACGCTGACCCCCCCCATACACACGTTGACCGCCCCCACACACACACGCTGACCCCCCATACACACGCTGACCCCCCCACACACACGCTGACGCCCCATACACACGCTGACCCCCCCATACACACGCTGACTCCCCCACATACACACGCTGACCCCCCCATACACATGCTGACCCCACACACACACGCTGACCCCCCATACACACGCTGACCCCCCACACACACACGCTGAGCCCCATACACACGCTGACCCCCCCATACACACGCTGACTCCCCCACATACACACGCTGACCCCCCCATACACATGCTGA